ATATTTATTGACTTTTGTATGAGAGAGTCCAGATTTTGTGATTTTGACAGATATATTGGCAGCCATCTCCTCATTGAGGGATAGTAGTTGTTAATTGGTAACTTGCCTGGCAGACCCTAGTATTGCCCTAATAGCCAATCGTCTCTTTTTCCTTGTTAAAGAACATAGATGATTTGTTCAGGGAGCAGCATGCTAATGAGATAAGATTGGTATAAGCCAAGTAAAGTAAACTATGCTTTTGCCTGTGACTGGTGTAGGGGCAAGAAGGTGACCTATTTCTGGCCAATAAATTATAAGAGAAGTAGAGGTTGAATGGTTTCGAGGGAGAAGGGATAGTGGTTTCTGGAAAAGAAATGAGAGCAGACTATCATATGGGAGTTGGTCCTTTGTATCTCTGCTAATTTCCTTCTCAATTTTGGGTGTGGTTGTGAGAAAACTCATGTTGGGATTATGAGTGGAGACCATCACCAGTTCTGTGGGTGGCCGAACAGAAACATGGAGTGAGCCTGGGTTCTCCCTGATGTCATCAAGCCACCAAACTATCCTGCCTACCTCTGGATCTCTTTATAAACAAATAACAAATGTCATGATATAAGCCACCGTTAGTCATGTTTTCTGTGTATTGCTAACAATTACATTAAGTTGACAGGCTTGGGAAGTGTTCTTTCTCTATTTTTTTTTTCATTTATAGAAGTCATACTTGTATGTAGTAGAAGAAAACGTTGAACAATATATATAAAGGCATTAAATAACAAGTGAACATCTATTATCCCAGCTCCCAGTGCCCTCCTCAGAGGAAACCACTCCACTTTTAATTACTGCTGTTTTTAGTTTTTGATGGTTATGACTATAATTTAAAGTAATTTGCCTATTTTTCTATACTGTATATACTATTTAGACAATATCTATTGCCTCCCCACCCTGAAAGATGGGGAATTTATCTCCAACTTCTATTCCCTCCTACATTTATTACATTTTCTCTGTTGTTTACATTTGTAGCTTTAAATCAATAAATATCACTTTTCATATTTTTACTATGTAAGTATTATTAAGTACAAAATAAAGAGAAGTGGTTTAATACCTAGAAAAGGGAATGCAATTCTATGTCACTAAACTATTCAAGAGAGAGTGTTGTAGGCACTGTATTCTCTTGCTTCACACTCAAAATTCTTCAAAATCATGCTGTACTTTAGTTCAAATTTGTACATTGGTTTCTAGAACAACTGTTTTTGTTTTTCTTTTATCCTAAGTTGCTAATTGCTTTACTTTTTCTTGAGGAGACAAGAAATGCAAATGTTTACATTATCTGACTGAGACTTTTTTTTTTTTTTTTTTAGTTTCAGGTATACAATATAGAGATTCAACATTTGTATACATTATGAAATGATCATCATTATAAATCTAGCTATCATCTGTCACCATACAGTGCTGTTAGAATATTATTAACTGTATCCCCTATGCTGTATATTGCATCCTCTTGTCTTGTTTTATAACTAGATATTTGTCCGTTTAATCCCCTTTCCATCTTTCTCCCATCCTATCACCCCTTTCCTCTTATAAGAACCAGATTGTTCTCCATATCTATGAGTCCATTTCTGTTTTGTTTTTTAGATTCTACATATAAGTGAAATTATGTGGTATTTATCTTTCTTTGTGTGACTTATTTCACTTAGTGCAATACCCTCTAGGTCCACCTATGTTGTTGTGAATGGCAAGATCCCATTCTTTTTTATGGCTGAATAATATATTTTATATTATATATATATCTATATTATAATATATAGTATATTAATATATAAAATAGAATATAGATATTATATAAATAGATAAAATATAGTATGATATAAACATATAAATATATATAAATATTCTATAATATAAATAATATATTAATATATAATTATAATATATACTATAATATATTATATAAATATATAATATAGATATTATATTTATATATTATAAATTATATATTATATTTATACATATTATTTATATGTATTTATAATATAAATATATATATAATGCTGCAGTAAATATAGGGATGCATATGTATTTTTTTGAATTAGTGTTTTAGGATAAATACCCAAAGTTGGAATTGCTGGGTAATGTGGTAATTCTATTTTTACTTTTTTGAGGAAACTCCATAGTGGAAGATTAGAGAGATTGTGCCATTTTGCATTACCAGTAATAGTTCATGATGGATCCCTTTTCTCCATATCCTTACTGACATTTGTTATTTCTTGTCTTTTTGATACTAGCCATTCTGACAGGTATGAGATGATATCTCATGGTGTTTTTCATTTGCGTTTCCTTGATGAGAATTTTTCATTTGTCTTTTGGCAGTCTCTAAGTCTTCTTTGGAGAAATGTCTATGCACGTCCTCTGTCCATTTTTAATTGGATTAGTTTTGTTTTGCTATTTTTTGCTATTGTGTGTTCTTTATATATTTTGGATATTAACTCTTTGTCCGTAAAATCATCGATTATATTGTTTGCAAATACCTACTCGCATCACCTTTTCATTTTGTTGTGAGAAAGCATTTTAGTTTGATGTAGTCCCATTTGTTTATATTTACTTTTACTGCCCTTGCCTGAGGAAACAGATTAAAAAAAATATTGCTAAGATATATGTCTAAGAGTATATTACCTGTATTTTCTTCTAGGCATTTTATGATTTCCAGTCTTATATTTAAGTCTTTAATCCATTTTGAGTTTAATTTTGTATGGTGTAAGAAAGTTGTCCAGTTTCATTGCATGTGGTAGTCCAGTTTTCTCAGCACCATTTACTGAAGAGATAGTCTTTTCCCATTGTATATCTTTGCCTTTGTCATGAATTAATTGATCATATAAGCGTGAGATTTTTCCTGGGCTTTCTATTGTGTTCTGTTGAGCTATGTGTCTGTTTTTGTGTCAGTACTGATTTGATTAGTGTGGCTTTGTAGTGTAGTTTGAAATAAAGGAGCTTGATATCTCCAGCTTTGGGTTTTTGTTTTGTTTTATTTTTCCCTCAAGATCACTTTTGCTATTTGGGCTCTTTTCTGGTTTCATGCAAGTTTTAGTATTATTTACTATAGTTCTATGAAAAATTCCATTGGTATTGTGATATAGATTTCACTGAATCTGTAGATTGCTTGGGGTAGTATGGACATTTTAACAATGTTAATTCTTTCAATCCATGAGCATAGGATATCTTTCCATTTATTTGTGTTATCTTCAATTTCTTTCATCACTGTTTTACAGTTTTCAGAGTGCAAATATTTTACCTCCTTGGCTAAATTTATCCATAGGCATTTTATTCTTTTAATGCATTTGTAAGTAGAATTACTTTCTTAATTTCTATTTCTGATAGTTTAGTGTATAGAAATGTGACAGATTTCTGCTTATTAACTTTGTATCCTACAACTTTACTGAATTCATTTTTTAATTCTAATAGGTTTTTTAGGAGTCTTTAGAATTTTCTTATTTATTTATTTATTTATTTTTAAAGATTTTATTTATTTACTCATGAAAGACACACACACACACACACAGAGAGGCAGAGACACAGGCAGAGGGAGAAGTAGGCTCCATGCAGAGAGCCCGAGGTGGGACTCGATCCTGGGTCTCCAAGGATCATGCCTTGGGCTGAAGGTGGCACTAAACTGCTGAGCCACCCAGCTGCCCTAGGATTTTCTATATATAATGCCATGTTGTCTGCAAATAGTTTTATTTTTACTTCTTTTTCTCCAATTTGGATGCCTTTTATTTCTTTTTCTTTTCTGATTGCTGTGGCTAAGACTTCTAATAGTATGTTGAATAAAAGTGATGAGAATGGACATCTTTTCCTTGTTCCTGATCTGAGAGGGATAGCTTTTAGCTTCTCATCATTGAATATGATGTTAGCCTTAGGTTTATCATATATGGCCTTTATTATATCAAGCTGTGTCCCTTCTAGGCTGACTTTGTTGAAAGCTTTTATTATAAATGGATGTTGAATCTTGTCACATGCTTTTTCTGCATCTACTGAGATATATGATTTTTACCTTCTTTTTGTTAATGTGTTGCATCACATTGATTTACAGATGGTGTAACTTTTCTTATATCCCTGAAATAAATCCTACTGGATCATGGTATATGGTCCCTTTAATGTATTGTTGCATTTGGTTTGCTAATATTTTGTTGAGGATGTTTGCACGTGTGTTTATTAGGGATATTGGCCTGTAATGTGTGTGTGTGTAGTCTTTGGTTTTGGTATCAGAGTAATGCTGGCCTATTGAATGAGTTTGGAAGTATTTCTTCTTCTGTTTTTTGGAATAGTTTGAAAGGAGAGGTATTAGTTTTTCCTTAAATGTTTGGTAGAATTTCACTGGTGAAGATGCCTGGTTTTGGACTTTTGTCTGTGTAAAACTGATTTAATTGTGTTGTCAGTCTGTTTAGATGTTCTAATTCTTTTTGATTAGTCTTGGAAGATTGTATATTTCTAAGAAGTTATCTATTTCTTTTAGGTTGTTCTATTTCTTGCCTTATAATTATAGTAGTCTGTTAAGATCTTTATATTCCTGTAGTGTTGGTTATACCTTCTCTTTTGTTTCTGATTTTATTTATTTGGATTCTCTCTCTCTCTCTCTCTCTCTCTTTTTTTTTTTTTTTTGATGAGTCTGGCTATAGATTTGTCAATTTTATGTGTCTTTTTGAATAACCAGCTCTCACTTTCATTGATCTTTTCCATCTTTGGGGTCTTTCTTTCATTTATTTCCACTCTAGTCTGTTTTATTTCCTTTCTTGTTTTAACTTCGGGGTTTGTTTGTTCTTTTTTCTAGCTTCTTTAGGTGTAAGGTTAGATCATTTCTTTGATTTTTTTTTGTTTGTTTTGGTTAGACTGTATTGCTATAAACTTCCCTCTTAGAACTGCTTTTGCTATGTCCAATAGACTTTGTCCTGTCATGTTTCCATTTTCATTTGTCTTAGGTATTTTCTAAATTTCCTCTTTGGTTTTTAATTTTTTTTTTTTTTTGACAGAGAGAGTGAGTGGGATGTGGGTGAAGGCAAGAGAGAGAACCTTAAGCAGGTTCCACACTCCATGACTCTGAAATCATGACCTGAGCCAAAATCAAGAGTCAGATGTTTAACCAACTTAACCATGCAGATGCCCTGGCCCTTTGGATTTTTAATGGTATGTTGGCTAGCCTCCATTTGTTTGTATTTTTTCATTTTCTCTTGAACTGATTTCTAACTTCATACCATTGTATTTGGAAAAGATGCTTGATATGATTTCAGTCTTCATATAATTATTGAGTGTTGTTTTCTGGCCTAACATGATATATGTTGGAGGATGCTCCATGTGCACTTGAAAAGAATGTATATTCTGCTGTTTGGTGTTGAAATGCTTTGTATGTATCTGTTAAGTCCACCTGTTCTAATGTGTTGTTTAGGTCTAATGTTTCTTTATTGATTTTTTTGTCTTCATGATCTACCCATTAATGTAAGTGGGGTGTCAGAGTCTCCTACTATTACTACTTTATTGTCAATTTCTTCCTCTATGTGTGTTAATAACTGTGTGATGTATTTAGTTGCCTCTATGTTGAGTGCATAGATATTTATATGTGTTATATCCTCTTGTTGGATTAAGTCCTTTATGTAATGTCCTTTTTTTGTCTCATTAAACTCTTTGTTTTAAAGTCTGTTTTTAAAGTCTTGTATCAGTATTGCTACTCCAGCTCTCTTTTTGTTTCCATTTGCATGGAATACCTTTTTTCCATCTTTTCACTTTCTGTGTGTCCCTGCCTTTAATTCTGCAATGAGTCTCTTGTAGGTACCAAATAAATGTTTCTGTTCTGTTCTGTTTTGTTTTTTATTCATTCTGCTATTCTGTATCTTTTGATTAGAGCATATAGTCTTTTTACTCTTAAAGGAATCATTGATAGGTATGTACTTATGGTCATTTTGTTCTTTTCTGGTTGTTTTTGTAGTTCTTCTATGTTCTGTTCTTCTCTTGCTCTCTTGCCTTGTGATTTTATGACTTTTTAAAGAGTTATTTATATTCCTTTCTCTTTCATGTATGTGTATTGCTTTAGATACTGGGTTCGAGGTTACCCTGAGGTTCATATATAACTTCCAATGTATACAGCAGTCTGTCATAAATTGATGGTCATTTAGGTTCAAGCATGTTCTAAAAGCATTATCTACTGTCCTGTCCACATTTTATGTTTTAAAGATCATATTTTACTTCTGATTAGCTTGAGTATCCCTTGACTAATAATTGTAGGTCTAGATCATTTTACTACTTTGTTTTTTAGCTTGCATGCTGGCTATAGGTGGTTGATCCAATACATTTAATAATAATATGTAGATTTACATTGAGATTTTTTTTCATAATTTTATTTCTAATTATGCTGATGCCTTAGCCACATGCTAATGAACTCCTTAAGCTTTTGCTTGCCTAGAATACTGTTTATTTCTCCTTCAATTCTGAGTGATAATATTGCTGAGTAGAGTATTCTTGCTTATAAGTTTCTTCCTTTCATCACTTTGAATATATTGTGCCACTCTCTTCTGGTCTGCAGTTTCTGCTGAAAAAGCAGTTGATATTCTTATGGGGGGGGGGAGTCTCTTTTACATAACTATTTTTCTTTTGCTGCTTTTAAGGTTCTCTATCCTTAACTGCTGACTCTTTATAATAATGTGTCTTGGTATGGGTATGTTTGGGTTTATCTTACTTGGACTCTTTGCTTCTAAGATATGGATGTCTGTTTCCTTCACCAGGTTAGGGAAGTTTCTAGCCACTACTTCTTCATGTAGGGTTTTTTGTTGTTGTTGTTGTTGTTGTTGTTCCTTTCTATCTCTTCTCCTTCTGGGATCACAATAATGTGAATGTTAGTATGGCTGATGTTCTAGAGGTCCCCTATGCTGTCCTTGCTTTTTAAAATTCTTTCTTTTTTGCTTTTCTGATTTGATTATTTCTAGGATCTTGTTTTCAGATTACTGACCCATTCTTCTCCATCATTTAATCTGTTGTTGATTCCTTCTAGTGTTTTTTTTTTCATTTCATTTGTTATATTTTCCAACTTTCTTTTTTATATTTTCTATCTCTGTGTTTATGTTCTCACTATGTTCATTCATTTTTCTCCCAAGTTCAGAGACCATTACTGAGTTATGATAATTACATTAAATTCTTAGATCTCAACTAATTAATCATGCTATTTGCTCAATGGACAGTACTTTTTTAGAAGATATTCTCGTAGGTGTCTGACTTCCTATTCTGATTTTGTCAACATATTCCTGCAGAACTATGAAAAGTCATTGTTCTATTGTCTTCTTTTTTTTTTTTTTTAAGATTTTCATTTATTTATTCATGAGAGACAGAGAGAAAGCAGAGACATAGGCAGAGGGAGGAGCACGCTTATCCCAGGGAGCCTGATGTGGGACTAAATCCTGAAAATCCAGGATCATGCCCTGAGCTGAAGGCAGATGCTCAACTGCTGAGCCACCCAGACATCCCTGTTCTATTGTCTTCTAGCAGTATTGCAGATGATAAATTAGACAATTTTATTTCAGTTTTATTATAAATAACTTTTTCTTGTTTTTTAAATTTTTTTAAATGTTTTAATTTTTTTTTTAGCTTTCCTTTTCGTTTGATGTTCAATTCTGTAAGGCTGATTTTGGGATGAAGCATCTATATATTTAATCTAATTAATATTCAATCTTCAATCTTACTGTTTTGTTTTCTTGAATTCTGGGATTTTTTTTTTTTTTACTATTTCTTCTTTTTATAATTCCATCTAATTCATGTGCCTAGAATTTACTGTTTTAAAGCACATATAAGTATTTTTTTTGTGTATTCACAAAACTGTGTAACCATAAACACTATCTAGTTTTAGAATATTTGTATAATCCTGAAAGAAACCTCTTACTCATTACCCATTATTCCCCATTCACCCTTCTCCCAACCCATGACAGCTACCAAACTACTTTCTTTCTGTGACTTTGTGTATTCTGGGTATTTCATATAAATGGGATCATATAATATATGGCCTTTTGTGTCTGGTTTCTTCACTTGGTGGAATGTTTTCAAGATTCATCTATATTGTAGCATATATCAGTATCTCATTCCTTTTATGGCCACATAATGTATTGTATCTATAATCCACATTTTATTGTTTTTACTTATCAACTTGTTTTACTTATCAACTATTCTTTCTTTGATTATTTTGCACCATGCGTTTTCTTAGTTCTGTCCTTCAGATTTGTTAGCTGGGTTGTAGGACTTTTTATATTGATTCTCTATGATGTTAACTTTTCCCTCCAAATCTTTGATTTCTTTCTTTTTTTGAACATTTTAGAAGATTTTATTGGTTGTATTTTTCAAACTTTCTATTACATGTAAAAGTTCTTAGCAAGTATATTTTAAATTTATAGTAATTCTTTCTTATTTTTGTTTCTTCCTTTTTAAATAAGAAACCTCTTTTGTTTTATTTTTATTACATAACCTTTGGTTCCCATTTATTGAGCATCTGTCTAGATGTTCTAAGCTGATGTAAGACATCCCCAAACAGTCCTATCCTATGTGTTGTGAATTAAATAAAATTAAATAAGACATCCCAAATAGCCGTATCATGGTGTTGGGCTGTCTGGTACTTGTATGTGCTTGGTTTACATAAGACTTTCCCTTCTGTTTCTGAATTAATCAGACTAACTTAATGCCTTGGCTAAGATGGAGCCAGTCCTTCCATTTGTCACAACTCTGTGCTGCTAGACAAGTGGATAAACTGTTCAGGACAGCTTCAGACCAAGTCAGATATCAACAACTTTAGCCTTCTTTCCTTTCATGGGGGTGTGCTTCCTTTTTAAGCTTAGAATTTTAGCGACATAATTTACATTCAGCAAAAATTCACCCTTTACAGATATTTAGTTTGATGAGTTTTGATAAGTATATATAGTCGTGTTATTATCATCATAATCAAAATAGAGAGTAGTTTCATCAATCCAAAAATTTCCCTTGGGTCCCTTCTCAAATCTTTCATTTTAACTTTGGATTTCTATGAGTGTTAATACGACTCAGTCCTATAGATTACTGTGATTGCTTTCCCCTGCTCCAGTGTGGTTCTCCTTCTCTTACAAGCATCTCTACTAACCAACAGAGCCAGGGATTCAAATTTACAGGGATCTAACTGTAAGCTTTGTGGGTGTGACATGCTGACAGAAAGGTCTTCCTTGAGGGCATATGAGTCTAGAGTGGGTAACCAGCAGTTCTGCAGCTCAAATTCCACAGTATCTAATTGCTTTGATGCAAGGGGTTTGGAATGGGATGGGAGATGCTACTTAGACCTGATGTTTAATAAATAGTCCTTTAATTTATGACACCGATTATTGCTTGTCATCCAATTTCTGTTCTTGTTTCTTGTCATCTACACATTTGGAGGGTCCTAGGACTCTGTCATAAAGAATGGCTTCCACCTCTGTGGTAGTCTTTTGTTGTGTTCTGGGTTTCAGCTTCCTTTAATCTGGTTTATCCAGTAATACAGTCCCTTCTTCTTTTGTGTTTGCCAAGATTTATCAAAATATATTTCTCACTGATATTCTTCCCCCTATTCACAATGGTGTTATGACTTCATTCTAGCTGTATTTCTTATCATACATGCCATGTGATTTTGTGAGGGAGTGGAATTAAATACATATGCGTGGTGTGTCATCTTGAAGTGCCAATCTTCAAGAGACCGATTCATAAGAATCTGTGACCCATCTGAGAGGTCAGCAAAGAGTCAAATTACTTGGATGTCTTCTTAGATGAAACATTTCAGGTAAAAGAAGAAATATCTGTACCAGTGAGCAGGCTTCACAACTCACATTACTGTTAGCATGTACTTTGGCTCTCTCGAGATTAGAGTCATTTACTTATTTATTTTTAAGTAAAATAAAATAAAATCATAATTAAAAGAAAAATGAACATACTCACAGTTTCAAGAAGTACCCCAAAGACATTTTGGTATTGGCATCTTTAGAGAAGTATAGTTTAGTTTTAGCCATGCTATAAATATGGCCTTGTAGTAGGTTACTTCACCAGCCCACGTAACATGTTTATGATATAGATGGAAGCTACAATTCAGTTTTTACTAATGTGAAACCTGAAAAAGGACAGCTTGATCTAGGTCATGAGGAAATTTAAAAGAGAGTCAA